GACTTATCTCTAAAACTGGTATTTAACTTGTTATGGTTTAGCTATTATTTTTCCAATCTCCTGTCCTAGCTATTCTGTCAGTTTGCTTATGCTCAGAATCTCAAACTCCATCACCACTGTACAGATTTAAAGAATCTTTATGGAAATTCTTTAGAGTTTCTCCAAACATCTTGATAGATACCCCCCACTTAAGTAGAACCCATCTCTGGCAATAATTCACTTTTTCCGTCAAAACTTGTTGCTCTAAGCATATCCTTGATAATCTTTCATTTAAACCTTGTCACCTACTAAGTAGTTTATTCCTGCACATAACAATACCAAAAGGGCCACTTGTCTGTTCCTAGCTCTCTGAAAAGAGTTCCTTATACTTTTCAAGCAGCCCTTCTGATTTACATCTTCCAGCATCATTTGCTTGTACATGCACTATGACAAAATAATTCCTCTTAGTACCAACAATTAAACTGTCAAAATGCTTTATGATGTTTTGTGCTTTAACATCTGACAAACAAATTCTAGTTCTAAATTCCTGTGCTCCCCATTACAAATATTTATTTTTATCAGTAGACGTAATGAGAGAGTTTGTATGTAAGTTTCTTGATCATTTCCTTTTTCTATGTTTCAAGCAGCTAGAGGTTCAAATCTATTAGGGACTTGTGCCTAAATGTTAACAGATCCTGTCTTTATAGGCCTAACATTTACTATTGTTCACCATTGTAAACACATCATCACTTTCCAAAGTAACATAACCTACAAACAACAATGGATCATTTTGTCCTTCATGACCACCCCTGTACTCTCATCTTTTACGTCTTAGAAAATTCTCAATTCTTCCTCCCACATTAAAATGTTCAGGATGAGTATTGTGCTTAGTACTTGAGCCACCATAGCATTGTAGATCATTAATCTCAGAACGATTTGATGAGACAAGGATCCCAGGTTCAATTTCATATCAGAACAGTTTTTAATATCCTGATCCATTTGAGCAGATTTGATTGTAAATCAGACCATTTCTACACGTTCTTGTCAAAGTATTTGGTCTCATGCTATATGAGTGCTGTAGGTATGAAATTCCAAGTTTATATTGAGGTTTGTGTCATTAGGGAAGTTGCTGGGTCATGTTTTGCAAATGACTCATCAGAGTGAAAATATATTGTAACTATTGGAATAAGGCATTCTTTATTTGGGACTTGAAACCCTGATAGCTTAGTTGGAATCTAGTCTTTAAACATATATCAATCAAGGATCCTAAGCTCAAGCTTTTATCAGGGTAGATTCACAAGATACTTGATATGTACCTTAGAAACAAGATGCAAAGAACACCAAGGTCACATGCATAAAGTAATTTCTCTTATATGCCTTAACATATCATCAATATCAAACATGTCACAAAATATTTTTGAACAAAATTGTCCTCCTACACCAACCCAAAACTGAAAAATGAGAGAGACTGTTTAGAAACTTTAGAAATCATCAAAGCAAATGACCTCTCACTAAACCATAATAATGACCCTAGCAACATCAGCCATATATGGCAAGGTCTACTCGCAGTTCATAACACTTGACCAGATTTAACCTATTCGTATATCCTGTCACCTGCTGACACTATTTCTGTCACATTTAATCCTTATTGTCTTTGTAATGATATATAAACCTTGGGTTGCTTAGTACTGATCAGTGGCATAGCAAGAGGGGACAGTTGCCCCCGGATGTAGGTGTGATGGGGCGGAAAATTTCCTCTGGCCTATAATGCCTATTAATTAATAATTATGTCCTCCCCTAGGATATAGTGCAACTGCCCTACATTAAGTAAATACGACACAGTGTTACGTTATTTGTGTGTATTACACTTGCAGTTTTATCTTTTAAAAGCCGCCCACTGAAATACAGTGAGACCGAATTGACGTACAGAAGTAAATTACACTATTCCATCATTCATTTGTAAATCAAATACAAGTCTTAGAGTACAACATACAAGTAAGTGTATGTTCAACAAAAAGAAAATACGAGATTGATGTAACACATTAACTGGTGTGCAAGATTGGCAATATATGCAACAGGCAACATTATAGGCCTATTGTAGTGGTTTGTAATTGTATTGTCTGATTGTAAATCATGTCTTACACCAACTAATGTACTAAACTTTAGGTATAATTGCAGTTATAACTATTTCTAGACCATTGGTCCACCATCATACAAATTGTAGCCTATATTGTAGGCATTCTTAGGCCTGTACTAACTATTAAACTAGGCATTGCACTGGGACAGATCTAATGACTAAGTTAATAGATCTGGATGTAACATTTGTTCTAAAAGTTAGGCCTAATAAATCTGAATCTAGAATTGATGAGTCAGGGTTATATCTAGATCTGGGTAGATTCAATACAAAGTGCTTTCAATCTATGCAC